TTTGATTCGTTGATTCTTTGGATTGTTTTCTTAGTCTCTATTGCATTGATTTCTGCTCTGATTTTTATAATTTCCTCTCTTCTTTTGGCTTTGGGCTTGACTTGCTCTTCTTTTTCTAGCTGTTTGAGGTGTAGCATCAAGTTATTTATTTGTATTCGTTCTGTTTTCCTGATGTGGGATCTCAGTGCAATAAATTTTCCTCTCAGAACGGCTTTCATTGCATCCCACAGATTCCGGTAAGTTGTATCTGCATTTTCATTTTCTTTTAGGTATTGTTTAATTTCTTCTTTAATTTCTTCTGTGACCCACTGATTACTCAAGAGTGTGTTATTTAGTTTCCATGTGTTTGCGGAATTTTTGCAGTATCCTTTGTCATTAATTTCTAATTTCAGAGCGCTATGATCCGATAATATGCAAGGGATGATTTCAACTCTTTTGCACTTGTTTAAATATGTTCTGTGAGCTAATATATGGTCTATTTTAGAAAATGATCCATGTACTGCTGAGAAGAATGTGTATTCTGATGTTGTTGGGTGGAACATTCTGTATATGTCTATCAAACCCATTTGTTCACAGGTGTGATTCAGTTCTGTTATTTCTTTGCTCATTTTCTGTCTGGTTGATCTGTCCCTTGGTGTCAGTGGTGTATTAAGGTCTCCTGTTACAATTGTGTTACTGATAATTTGAGTTTTCATTTCTGTTAATAATTGTTTTATATAACTGGGTGCTCTGGAGTTTGGTGCATATATATTTAAGATAGTTATCTCTTCCTCTTGGAGTTTTCCCCTTACGAGTATGTAGTGACCTTCTTTGTCCTTTATGGTCATTGTTGGTTTAAAGTTCACGTTGTCTGCAAACAGAATGGCTACTCCTGCCTTTTTTTGGATTACTGCTGCATGAAGAATTGTTTTCCATCCTTTGACTTTCAGTCTGTGAGTATCTTTCTGGGTTAGATGGGTTTCCTGTAAACAGCATATGGTTGGATTTTGTTTCTTGATCCATTCTGCTAGTCTGTTTCTTTTGATTGGTGCATTGAGACCATTTACATTAATGGTTATTACTGTTAAATGCTGGTTAATTGTAGGAATGTTATCTCTCTGCTGTTGCATCTTCATCTTTCTGTTCTGTTTAATTGTTTGCTTTGCTTAGTGCTTTTTTCCTTTGTGTATCTAAACTGTCTTTCAATATTTTTTGCAGGGTTGGTTTGGTGTTCATGAAGTTCTTCAGCTGTTCTTTGTCATGGAAGTATCGTATTGCATCATCTATTTTGAATGATAGTTTTGCAGGATATATCAGTCTTGGTTGGATATCATTTTGCTTTAGGATCTGGAATACTTCACTCCATGCTCTTCTTGACTTTATCGTTTGTGCTGAGAAGTCTGCTGTGATTCTGATAGGTTTTCCTTTATAAGTGATTTGTCTTTTCTCTCTGACAGCTTTTAATAATCTATTCTTGTGTTGGATTTCTGGGATGGTGACTATTATATGTCTGGGTGTAGTTTTATTTTGGTTATGACTGTTTGGAGTTCTATATGCTTCACTGATCCTGATGTCAGTTTCTGATCTCATGCTTGGGAAATTTTCAGCTATTAGTTCTCTAAATATCCTCCTGACATCCTTCATGTTGTTTCCCTCTCTTTCATTAATCCCTATCATTCTTATGTTATTCTTCTTTGCATCGTCTTGCAGTTGTTGAATTGTTGTTTCCTGGTTCCTTGTTATTTTCAAAAGATCTTTCCTTTCCTGTTCACTAGCTGCAATCCTGTCTTCAAGGTCTGAAATTCTATCTTCACTTTTCATTAAGGCGGTTTTTACAACTTTCAGTGGAGTTTTTTATTTCCTGTATATCTCTGTGCATGTGCATTATGTATTCTGTTTGTTTCTTATATTGCTCGTCTAGGGATTCTATCTTTTTGTTTAGTTCCTCCAATTTTTTATCTGCGTTTTCTTTAGATATATTTAGAATCTCTTTCATTTCTTTTATCATTTCTTCTTTTATCTGGGAGATTATTTCGAGTTTGAATTTCTTTAAAACTTCCTGGAGTTGCTTGTCAATTTCAGTGGCTATTGTGTCCGATATATGAGGTGGATGGGATATATTTTCTTCTATATACATCGCTCCTAGGGTTTCTTGAGATGGGCTGGAGGTTTGAGGTTGTAATTTGGTCTTTCGTTTTGTCATTTTCCTATATTTCTGTGTTTCAAGTGTTATTTGAAAGCTTCCTCAGGATCTGTTGAAAATCCCCTTCTATGTTTGGAGCTACTGAGACTCTGGCGCCGCGCTACCCCAAGCCTTTAGGCCTACAGAACTAGTGGTCCTCCTCTGCCTGCTCAGAACTCCGCAGTTCCAGATAAGCTGGGCCTCAGGGACACTGTGCGCCCACCTGCCCCTTGGAAGCTTCACAGTTCTTCAATCGCAGCCGGGTTAGGGTACTCACCACAGGCCGCAGTGCTTCAGGAACCTGTGGACCCTCCCTGGTTGCAGAGATATCCACAGTCCTCCAGACACATGGAGAGGCCGATGCAGGCACCCCAAATCTGCCCAGCTCCTCCTCTGCAGACCAATGGCCAGGCGCGGCAGCTAAACAGGCTGGGCTAGGCTGGTAGTGTGGGCCAGCCCACCTATGGGGAGCTCAGCAGGTCTCCAAGTGAAGCCGGAATGGGGAGGCTGATGTGGAAGCCTCAAACCCACCTCTCCCCTTCACTGCACCTGGAAGCCTGAGGGAACTCCAGCAGTCTGGGCGCAGATATCCAGAGTCCTCCAGACATGCAGAGAGGCCGGTGAGGGCACCCCAGATCTGCCCAGCTCCTCCTCTGCAGACCTATGGCCAGGCGCGGCAGCTAAACAGGCTGGGCTAGGCTGGTAGTGTGGGCCAGCCCACCTATGGGGAGCTCAGCAGGTCTCCAAATGAAGCCGGGAATGGGGAGGCTGATGTGGAAGCCTCAAACCCACCTCTCTCCTTCACTGCACCTGGAAGCCTGAGGGAACTCCAGCAGTCTGGGCGCAGATATCCAGAGTCCTCCAGACACGCAGAGAGGCCAGTGAGGGCACCCCAGATCTGCCCAGCTCCTCCTCTGCAGACCTCGACATGAATTTTCAATAACCAGAACATTTTTGAGACAAAATAGTTTCTCACAGCATATTATCTTCATTTTGTAATCTGTTATTTTAAGTCTAGCATTTTAATAACCCAAGCATTATATTATCACTGAAATTACATCCCATGTGATAGGTAGCCTGCCCTGCATTTTCTTAAGGGCAAATATTAATAATTTCCATGTCATAACCATTTTATGGTTTCCATGTCTTAACACCTTACCACCAGGAATATTGCTACATCTTTATTTACATTTTTCTTCCTTTTTCTTTTCTTTAAATTATGTCTGTCAGTTGATTTCAGTAATCATTTGAATGTAGCATTGCCTTAACCAGTTTAAATCCTATTTTCTTTAATCCAAACATTATTTTCCTTTTTACAATAAAGTAGTACTTGAGAGAACACTTTATAATAAGGGAACTTTAGGAAAAATGATTTTCATTCATGAATAATGGTTTTTAGAAAGAAAAGACATTCTTTTTATATGTTTGGCCATATGCAGGATAAACTTACTATCCACACTTAATGTTGAAGTTATTGATAACCAATGGCATATTTTTACAGCATAGCACTTATAAGCTTTAGTTTTATTAGTGTTGCAGTGTAGATTTTTGAGGAGAGGATTGATGTTTGTGGTAGACTTTTTTTTCACATTTACTGGACTATGCAAATGATGTTGGTGATGTTTTGCTATTGACTGGAGGTCAGAAAAAGAGATGTAGATTTCATTGAAGGAACAACTAGTAGAATTAAACAGGATATAGAAAAAGGAATAAAGGACCAAGAACAAGAGAAGAACCATGAGGCAGGTTGTGTGAGGAGTGCCAGGTAATGGAAGGGAACACTAAAATTGCAGGAAATAACCAGGGTTCCATGTTACAGAATCCAAAATTTCTATGAGAATATTTAGAAAAAATTACTGTCTTTATATATCGTGCATGTCATATATGAGCTTGAAAAGGTAGTGTATTTTTCTAGGTTATTTATAGTTATTGTAGTTATCAAATATAAAGTGCTAATCTGTACATTTATATAATCTCTTTTTCTCCAGGTAGATGAAATAAGATGGTACATGAAATGACTGTCTGTAAATACTGATATTGTTTCTTATGTCTGTTGTTCTGAGTCCTTTTTGGGCCTCTGTTTCCCTTGATAAAACTTTAAAATGTTATAAAATTTTATTTTTGTTTTCAGAAAAGGTATCTTTGATGAATACAGCCAGATAACCAGTCTTGTTACAGAGGAAATAGTAAATGTTCATCAAGAAATTCAAATGTCAGGGGCTGGGGATTTAGCTCAGCGGCATAAGTGCCTGCCTTGAAAGCAGGCAGTCGTGAGTTCGATCCCTGGTACCGATAAAAATGAAAAAAGCCAAAAAAAAAAAAAAGAAATTCAAATGTGAGTCGAACAGATAGATCCTAGCACAGAGTACAATAATTTCATAGACGTTCATCAGTATGATATTTTCATTTCTCTTTAAATAATTATGAAAATATTGTATTTTAAAAATTATCAAAATTAAAATAAGAAATATTTAAAAAATAGTTTATTGTAGATTAAATTGTCTCCTTTAACTTTTCAAAAATCCTGTTAATTTATATAATTATTCTTAAAATTTTTTACTTACCATATTACTGAGTTACAAGTTACTTCCCTATCTCTTCTTTTATACTTAGTAGAATTGAGACAAGTTAATATCTATATTTTATAAATGAGGAGACTTAAGATAGAAGTTGCATAATTAGATCTTCAGTGACTAGAATTTACTTCATACTATTTGTATCTACTTTGTTATATAATTTTGAATAAGAATAAATACTCTGTATTCAGTGTGTACTAATATGTGTATATGTTATGATAACTTACTAATATTGACCAGAATTATTTGACGTACTTCACTAGAACAACAGCTGCTAAAGAACAAGAAATTGTATTTGATACTTCCTTATTAGAAGAAAATGAAAACCTTCAGGCAAATGAGATCATGTGGAATAATTTAACAGCAGAAAGTTTACAAATAATGTAAGTATTGAGAAAATTTATAGTTTAAAATATGAATTATTGTTTTATAGTTGTATTTCATCACATTTAAAGTCTCCAAATTTTTTTAAATAATGAAAAGTAAGTTAAATTTGAATAATATTATATTTTGAGAAATGTTACTTTTGCTCAGCATCATCACTAATTTTGGTAATTATGAAAACCATTGTTTTGTGTGAAGTTACATTAATTTACCCAGTATCTTATATTGTAATAATGATTTATTTTTTCAGTTACATGTTTTATTCCATTTTATTGTCAGTACTAATTGGTAGGTCCATTTTGGGATCGCACAAAAATGTGTTTATCAGTGAACATATGTGCTTATCTTTGTATCAGAAGAATAGCTAGAAATATTTATTTACTCATGTCTTTTCAATATTAAGTTAAATTCATTATTTTATTTGTTTAAATTTTACCTCAAATAAGTCAGCCCGGATTCCTTACATAATGTAATTATACAGTCTGCTAATATTCAGTAACATTGTAGAGATACAGATATTTGTGAACGTAGTATTTTGGGATTAGTTCTTGGAAAGGGATTTTACATTTTCAAAGCTGGACATATAACATTAAAGGAACAATTGCCTTTTCATAAATCATCTTTCAAAATGAAGGTTGGACAATTAGGGACAACTGCTTCCAAAGGAGGTGTGGGAAAACCCTGCATTCCGCAATGTTTTCTACTGGGATTCTTGAAGTTGTTCCCTTAGTTTTTGATATCCTTCTGCACGGGGGTCTCTTGATTATTTATTGACTTTGACATTTACAGCAATAGGTATCTCTAAGCTAGTAATTCTCACCAGTGCTGATTTTGTCTTTCAAGGTATATTTGACAATGCCTGGAAACATGAGCTTGCGCTAAGTATCTGTAGTATATAGGACTGCCTCTCACAAGAAAGAATGATCTGGCACCAACATCACTAGCGCTGAGATTGAGAAACCCTTTTGTAAATAGTAGAATGGGAACCAGGGCGTAGGATGATTGGTGGAATTTCTCAGTTTCTATGCAGTGAATCAATTTGTATCTTAATTCATTGGCTGGATGGTAAAGAAACATAGCCTAAATTACCCCTGATTTTTTTTTTTTTGTTATCTCTGGGTTGCTCACAAATAACTTGCTTATTCATCAAAATCTCTAGTACATAGTTAAGGTTATATGGGTTAATGTCTTCATAAGGTTTATATTGATACTGACTATTTTCATAAATACCAAAATGAATGAACATGTAGACACTGGAGTAAAATATGGTAAAAGTAAAAATAGCCATCTATTACAGGCTTATGTACAAGCAGAGATTTTATAATCAAAGAAGAATTTGTTTTTTTGTATTTTAAGGTAGAATGGGAATAGAATTAGACTCATTAATCATTATTTTTAAGTTATGATGAGATGTGATGTGTGACTCACTCTTGGCCCATACAGATTTTTTCAAGTCATATTTTTGGTCAGTCCATCAAGAAAGGACCTTGTGCTTCCAGGCAGGTGCTTATGCCACTGAGCTAAGTCCCTGGTCCTTTTTATATATTTTTGATGTTAGTCCTATGTCTGTGGACTAGCTAAAATTTTTTTTTCCATTCTACCTCCTCATTCTGTTGTTTGTATCCTTTGTTGTGCCAAAACTTTTTAATTTGATATAGTCCCATGTTGATTCCAGTGTTACTTCTTGGGTCATTGGGGTTCTGTTCAGAAAGTCCTTGACTTATATGCCTTTGTCTTCGAGTTGTACTTTTTTTTTTAATCTTTCAGCTGATTGTTTTTGTTTTAATATTTAGATCTTTGATCTCCTTTATTTTAATTTAACATGTGGTGAGATGTATAGGTCTACACTTAATCTTCTGCATGTGGATATCTAGTTTTCCCAGCACTGTTCATTAAAGAGGCTGGATGTTGGCAGCAATGCCAGAGCTCTAACATCACTAAACTGTATGCCTTCTTCTTCTACTGATTACTGCCACTGGTGCTGGCCTCCCACAGTGAAAAGGCTGTCTTTCACCCAGTGACTATAGAAGGGTGTGACTTCAGTCCTGAGGGAAGGTCTCCTGGGTGTTGTCTTCTTCAGTCAGGTTGGTCTGTTGGTCTCCTTGGCAAAGGCTCTGTTGTCCTTTGCCATAGAGAACCCAGGAACAGAGGCAGGTCTTCCTGGCATCAGTGCAGGGCTGGCAGTGGTGCACAAGGTGTGTACTTTTCAGTTTCTTGTTGGTCCAGCATGGGGCTCAGGTGGCTGTCTCATTTTTTGCTATTTAAAATTAGACTATGTGAAATTTAGAATAGAATAGAAATAGGATCTCTTAATTGAAGCATAGTAGCTCTCTATATGAAAAAGTGATTCTCCGGCATCTTGCAGATAATGAGTCAGTAACCTGTTTATAGTCTGTGCACCAAGTCCATCTTGGTACCTATTTTAGTATAGCCCATGAACTAAGAATGCTGTTTATATTTTTAAATGGCTGAAAAAAAACAAAGGAAGGAATATACACGATGACACATGAAAGTTATATGAAATTTGAATATAAGAGTACATAAATAAAATTTTATTGGCATATAACCATATTCAATCATTTATCTGTGATCTATGGGTGATTTCTTGTTACATAGCAGTCAAGCAGTTATAGCATGACAGCAAACGTATGTTGCATGTTAATCATTTCATACTGCTGATTGACACAATACAAATCACAGTCACACCTGAGTAATTTAACATGATTTTGATTGCCACACATATTGGTGACTGCAACACTGCATTTATTTTTTATCATCAGTTCATGCCTTCTCTTAAAATAAGAAGTGAAAATGGATTTTGAACACTTCATTTTAGATGCAGAAGAGTGTGGATTATTTTGTTGTGAATTAAACACAAAAGCGTTGTGTTTATTATGCAGCAATGTTATGTCTACTGATATACTCAAATAACATTATATAGCTGGTTGTGGTGGCACGCACCTATAGTCCCAGTCCTCTGGGAAGCTGAGGCAGATTGACTGCAAGTTCAAGACCTTACTGCACAACTTAGAGACTTAGAACTTGTCTCAAAATGAAAAAGGACTAGGAACGTTGGTCAGTGTGAAGGCCCTAGGTTCACACTCTAGTACCGAAAAACAAATCGTATTCCCTTGGGTTAGACTGGTATTGCTATTTGGTCTTATCAGTTAGTGTGAAGAGACATTTCAAAGGTGACATACATAAAATCTCATTGTAAGTCTGCATTAACAGGTGAGCATTTAGAGTTGTTTTTGATGATAAGCACTAACTTTTAACTTCAAAGAGAAGAATTATCCTTAAAAGATTTCCCTATTTCTTATTCATAGGTGAATATTACAATAAATATTCCCATACATTTTGAAATTGCTAATAAAATATTTGTGAATATTTTTTAATATTAGTACTTATATAATATCCTTGATTTTACTTTTTTTCCCAATTAGATATTAGTGGTACATTTTAAATGCACATAATGATCACTTCCATCATACTTTGTACCCACCTGTACACGATATAACTTATTTCTTTTATTTTTCCTATTCCCCTACTCTTACATGAACCCCTCCCCCACTACCTATTTACAAAAACTGTGTTTTCTGGGCCAGGGATTTAGCTCAGCAGCATAAATGCCTGTCTGGCAAGCACCAGATTGTGAGTTCAATTCCTGGTTACCCGTCCCCCAAAAGAAAAAAAAGCTTTGTTTCCATTTTCTTCCTTTTCCATTTTTTTCTTTTCTTCCTCCCCTTCTTTGGTTCCCTTCTGCATTTAAACATTATTTTCCTGTTTCACAATATGTATTATGCATTTTGGCCCTTATTTATATTTTTGGTTTCTCACAACAGAGAAACAGTGCAGTATTTGAATGTGTGTTCAGTTTATTTCATTTAAGAGTATGATCTCAAGGTATATCCATTTACCTAGATATGCCTTGAGCTTATCATTCTTTATGGCAGAGTAGGACTCCATTGTACCAAAAACCCACATCTTTATCCATTCATCAGTTGATGGGCATTAGGGATGTTTACAAGATTTGGCTGTTATAAACTGTGACTCTGTAAATATGGGTGTGCATATATTGCTGTGATATTATGCTTTTAATTCTTTTGGGAAGATCCTGGAAGGGGAAAAGTTATGTCAAATGGAATCACTAGTCCTAGTTGTTTGAGGAATATCCACACTGATTTCCGCAGTGGTTTTATGAGTGTATATTCCCACCAACAGTAGAGAAGAGTTCGTTTTTCCCCACATCCCCACCAGAATTTTTTATTGGTTTGTTTCTTGATAATAACGATTCTTTCTGGGGTGAGATGGAATCTCAGTGTTGCTTTAATTTGCATCTCTTGAATGGCCAATGATGTTGAACATTTTTTCATATATTTATTTGCTGCTTGTACTTCTTCATATGAGAAGTGTGTGTTTATCTTATAAGCCTATTTTTGGATTGAGTGTTTAAATTTGGGGAAGAGTTGATATGATTTTTTTAGTGTGTGTGTTCTTTATATATTTTAGATAGTAGCCCTTTGTCCAAGGAATAGTTGCAAAAGATTTTTTTCGTACACTGTGGATTGTCTTTTCACCCTGTGGTGATTTCTTATGCCATACAAAGCAGTTTAATAAGATGAGATCTCAGTTGTTGATTCTTTGTGATATTTCCTATGCAATTGGGGTTTTGTTCATAAAAATCTTTGCTTATGGTGATGTCTTCAAGAGTTCTACCTATTCTTACAGGAGATTTAATGTTCCTGTTTTAATGTGTGCATCTTTGATCCATTTTGATTTTAATTTAGCACATAATGGAAGATAGGGGTTTAATTTTAATTTAACATGTGGAAAGCCAGTTTTCCTAGCACTGTTTATTAAAGAGGTTTTCTTCCAGTTAATGTGTTTGACACCTTTGACAAAGATAAGGTTGCTGAGTATGACTAAAATTATTTTTGCATCTTTTAATCTGTTCATTGATCTTCATTTTTTTATAAAGCCAGTACCATGCTGATTTTTA